TGCCCAGCTCAAAGGCAGACTAGCCACTGTTTGGCTGCCGAGGCTCCGCCCTGCTGTTGTGTGATTCGCGCTGTTCCTGCTGGCTCTGCTGTGGTCTCCGCCACGCCCTGCGGCGGAGTCTCTTCATTGTAGCGTGTTGCCTCAGCAACGGCAGGCTGCGTCAGCAGTGGGCGTGTATCTCAGTAGGGACGGGTTGCCTCGGCAACGGCTGGCTGCCTCAGCAGTGGGCGTGTATATCAGTTGGGGCAGGTTGCCTCCGTAGTGGTGGACGCCCCTCCCCCACAGAGCGTCTCGGACCGTCTGCCCGGGATAGTTTGAAATCGCGGTTTTGTTCGTCCCACTGGGTATCCCAAGCGATCTGTCCCTGCAATCCCCTGGGCTGGGCTACTGTGCAAGTCTCGTTCAGTCTCAAGTCCAGCCCTCTCAAGTCTCAGGTTGCCGGTTCAACAAGGCACCCGGACAAGCGCGCCCTGTGGGGATTGCTGGGTAGGGCCGGCCGCCGCCTCCCCGGCTGCCGGCTTCGCCAGGCAGACCTACTGCCTGGTGTCCCGTGTCTTTTTATACTTGGGAATTTCCCCGTTCTGTGGGCAACAAAGATCAGTCTGGAAATGCAGCACTGACTCACCGTTTGCGAATTCAACGCGGGCTCCAATCCTGGGTTGTTCTCACAGCGCCATCTTGAGTCCCCTCCTCTTAATCAGGCAAAGATTTCTTAAACAGAACATAAGCAGCATTGACTGTAAAAAAAATAAACAGGTGATTTAAACCTCATTAAATTAATGAATGATGTTCATCAAAAATTTCATTAAAAGAGTGAAAGTTAAGTCACAAACTTATATTGCAATATATTGATCTGGCAACGGATAGTTAACCTTACCAATTGATAAGAAAATGACAATATGACAAAAACAGGCACTTCTGTTCAATCTAACTTAAACAGTTACTTCTCAACAGATTATATCCAAATGGCAAAAAAATTAAAAGGTAATCAGTTTCATTAATCATCAGGGAAATAAGGTATGAAACTATTATGTGAAACCACTACACACCCACCAGAATGGATAAAATGGAAAAGATGGACAACACCAAGGATTTGTAAAGATGTGGAGCAATTGTGCTTCGCATACGCCATTGTTTGAAAGTATAAATTGATCCAATCACTTTGGAAAAATTTCTGACAGTCTCTACTAAAGCTAAATATATGACCCAGCGATTTCTTGAGCACGGGATGTTTTTCCATCTGTTTGTGTTCTCTCTTATTTCCTCGATCAGTGGTTCGTAGTGCGGCCTTTTACATCCTTTGTTAGTTGTATTCCTAGGTACTTTATTCTCCTTGTAGCAATTTTGAATGGGAGTTCTTTCTGTTCATGGTTAGGAAGAATCAATATTGTGAAAATGGCCACACTGCCCAAAGTAATTTCTAGATTCAACACTATCCCCATCTAGCTACATTGACCTTCTTCACAGAACTGTAAAAAACTACTTTAAACTTCATTTGGAACCAAAAGAGAGCCCACATAGCCAAGACAATCCTAAGCAAAAAGAACAAAGCTGGAGGCATCATGCTACCTGACTTCAAACTATACTACAAGGCTACAGTAATCAAAACAGCATAGTACTGGTACCAAAACAGAGATGTAGACCAATGGAACAAAGCAGAGGCCTCAGAGGTAATGCCACACATCTACAACCATCTGATCTTTGACAAACCTGACAAAAACAAGCAATGGGGAAAGGATTTTATGTTTAATAAATGATGTTGAGAAAACTGGCTAGCCATGTGCAGAAAGCAGAAACTGGACCCCTTCCTGACACCTTACACTAAAATTAACTCCAGATGGATTAAGGACTTAAACATAAAACTGAAGACCATAAAAACTCTAAAAGAAAACCTAGACAACAACATTCAGGACATAGTCATAGGCAAGGACTTCATGACTAAAGCACCAATAGCAATGGCAACAAAAGCAAAAATAGAAAAATGGGATCTAATGAAACTTAAGAGTCTCTGCACAGCAAAAGAAACAATCATCAGAGTGAACGAGCAACAGAATGGGAAAAAATTTTTACAATCTACCCATCTGACAAAGGGCTAATATCCAGAATCTACCAAGAACTAAAACAGATTTACAAGAAAAAAAACAAACCCATTCAAAAGTGGTCAAAACATATGTACAAACACTTTTCAAAAGAAAACATTTATGAGGCCAATATCACTGATCATTAGAGAAATGCAAATCAAAAGCACATTGAGATACTATCTCACACAAGTTAGAATGGCAATCATTAAAAAATCTAGAGACAACAGATGCTGGAGAAGATGTGGAGAAACAGGAACACTTTTACACTGTTGGTGGGAGTGTAAATTAGTTCAACCATTGTGGAAGACAGTGTGGTGATTCCTCAACCATCTAGAAATAGAAATTCCATTTGACCCAGCAATCCCATTACTGGGCATATACTCAAAGGATTGTGACTCATTCTATTATAAAGACACATGCACATGTATGTTCATTGTGGCACTGTTTACAATAGCAAAGACCTGGAACCAACCCAAATGCCTATTGATAATAGTTTGGACAAAGAAAATGTGGCACATATACACTATGGAATACTATACAGCCAGAAAAAAGGATGAGTTCATGTACTTTGTAGGGACATGGATGAATCTGGAAACCATCATTCTCAGCAAACTGACCCAAGAAAACAAACACCGCAAGAACAAGAAAGAAAACCAAACAAAAACAAGAACAGAAAACCCAATGCTGCGTGTTCTCACTCATAGGCAGGTGTTGAACAATGAGAACACATGCGCACAGGGAAAGCAACGTCACACGCTGGGTTCTGTTGGGGGGTGGGAGGGGCTAGGGGAAGGACAGCAGGGGGCAGGGAGGTTGAGGAGGGATAATATTAGGAGAAATGCCTGATGTAGGTGACGGGAGGATGGAGACAGCAAACCATCATGGCATGTGTGCACCTATGCAACAATCCTGCAAGATCCGCACATGTACCTGAGAACTTAAAATACAATTTAAAAAAAGAATCAACATAGATATGAAGATTTAGATAAATAATAAGTTCGTTATTACATATAAATATATATGAATGTGTATATATACATATCAAATAGATAATATTTTTAAGAAAACATGGAACATTTATTAAAATAGGCCTGATCTGGTTATTAAAAACCTCAAAACATTCCAAATGTTCAATATCATAATAGACAATCTTCTTTGACCATAGTGAAATCAAAGTGGAAGTTAATAACAAAAGAATAGCCTAAAATTCTAAATAAACTCAGTGACATGTTACTAAACTACTCTTGGGTTTAAAAGGAAAGTATAAAAGAAATTTTAAAATACTTAGAAAAAATGACAATAAAAATAGTAATTATCAAATATTTGTGGACATAGCTCAATCAGTATTTAGATGAAAACTTCTAACTTTATTACATTTATGTGGAGCCTGGAAATAGTAAAACCTGAGAAAGCCAAGCATCTATCCCATGAAAACAGAAAAAAGTGCAACAGACCAAACCCCAGAGAATTTAAAAGGTGATTAAAAAATAAGGGCATAAACAGAAATCGATGAAATATCAATTTTTTAAAAACCAGTAAAAAAACTAAAAGGTGGATCTTTGGAAAGATTAATTATCTGGATAGATCTCTGTAACACGATTTATCAAAGGGAGGAAAGGCATAAGTAAAATACAGAACAAAAGAAGAAAAAAGAATTACTGATATAAAATAATAATAGGGGCAGAATAAATAACTCTCTAGTATTTAATTTAAAAATCTAGATGAAATAGATAAATTCCCAGATACAAAGTTCAAAATTGGCTTATAGAATAGGAAACTTGAAAAGACCAAAGAAATATCAGCAAAACTAAGGTGTCTCCAAAACTGCAGATCCAGTAATAAGCCCTACTTTCCTCTCTTCCCCTGGAAAGAGCTTCCCTCATCCCTGCATGGAAGCAATGATGCTATCACCCCAATGGAGAGCCCAGAACTCTAGCGAGGCATCCACAATGCCTCATCCTTCCATGCACTGTGATCAGTCCAAAGTGGGGCAACCGTGCCTTAGACTCTTGGGGAGACTGATAGGAACACTGAGAAAAATGAGAATTTCTCTCCTTCTGATACCAACTAACCAGTTAGAACCAAAGAACCTGGAGCTGCAGTGGCCACCTTTGTCCCCAGTGCAGACAGAATAAAGTAGAAGAAGAAAGCAGAGCTAGGAAGGAATCAGAGAGAGAGAGAGAGAGAGACAGAGAGAGGAGGGATCTGATTTGAAACTCCGTGGACCCAGCCACGCCTGAAGTCCTTTCCACCCTTGGACCTCTCATTCATGAGATCCAATAAATATTCCTTTTTGCTTTAAAGCAGTTCAAAGTTGATGTCTGTCACCTGTAATCCAAAGAAAACTGATGAAAAATAAAATGTGGGGAAGGGGGAAGGTGCTAGGTTTTGGAGTTGAATGGTCTTGGATTTGAATCTCGAGGGTGCTTCACTTAACTCCCATGCATCTCAGTTTCCTATCTAAAAAGGAGGGATAACAACGGTATCCACTTCACAGAGTCATTGGGAAGATTTTGTGAGATAATCCAGAGGAAGCGTTTTATTCCATATCTGCCTCTCCCACCAGGCTAAGGCCCCTGGAAGGCAGGACCTTGCACAAATCATCCCCAGTTGGAGCTAAACACACGTGTGTGTGTGTGTGTGTGTGTGTGTGTGTGTGTGTGTGTGTTTACAAGTATCTGCATCTTGGTGCCAATTAAGGGCACCTAAGACATCCCTGCCCACTGACACAGGGCACCTGCAGTGCTGCGACTCCAGCCACATTTTGATATTTAAAATCGACTTCATAGAACTGAACGCAGAGCAAAGTTAATTTGCAGCATCACGGTGTTTACTCAACTCTCCTGACAAAGCCTCCCATTGGTTCATGGCTGGGGGGAGAGGATTACCGAATGGTAAAGGCCACCTGCCCCTCTAACCATTAACCATCCAGGAAGCTGGAAAACAGAACTTAACAGGCAGCATCCCCCACAGGCTTACTGTACGCATGCTGGTTCCAGGACAGGAGGACTGAGCCAGCAGAAACAGCCTGAGTCCACTGCAGACTGTGAGTAACACCTGAGAACCCTGTGTCCCTGCCCCGGCCCTGTCTCTGCCATCCTACGATTGGCATCATGTTGCACAGGGCCTGTGCCCATGAAGGGACCCCAGACAGGTATGGCAGTGACCAGAGCAAAGCAAAGATTTCACTGCCTGCCATGGGGCAAGGCCACAGAGAAGCACAGAGCAAAACCATGACTGCAGCTCGTCTGATTGCTTGGTTTATTGAGATGTTTTGGTTTTTTAAACGGTACATTGAACATTAGGGCAGCCAGCAGTGTTATTAGGCAACGCTGGGGAGGATTTTCCAGATCCCAGAGTCTGTGAGTCATCCACTGGGGTTCTGCTGTCCCCTGGGCCATTCTCATCCACTGCCACAACTGACGCTCCTAAGCCTAGCCAGATGGCCACAAGAGCCACAGAGTCGGAGCCTGAGAGCTACAGTGTATCTGGTAGCCGGCACCACTGATGAAGGATGCTGGCTGGGGCTGGGGGCCAGGGAGTGCTCAGCTGGCTCAGGGCAGAGGCATTCTTCAGAGTCACGCAGACCTTTCTCCACCGCAGCTCCTCCCTCAGTGACCTGGGTCAGAGATGATGCACAGAGAACAGAACTGCCTGCACCGTACCACATAAGGTTTCAATACAGATGGTCAAGAACTGTGCCTGGCTCATAGGGCATTTGTGAAAACAGAACACAGTGAATATTTACTAAGCGAGTCTCAGAGATGAGGAATAAAGAGGGCATGCTTGACATGAAATGCCTGAATAAGACTGATACTCTGCATTTTTATATATGGCAGGGTACTCTTAAGAGGTGTTTTACTCATCATTTTGCTTTCTGTAGAGACAAGCAGAATGGCATGGCACAAGCTCTGAAGTCAGACGTCTATGCTTAGAATTCCCACTCAGGGGGAGTTACTCTATCTCCGTGGATCTCAGGTTTCTCGTCTATAAAATGGGCCCCAGGATGACCCATTAAGTGAAATAACATAAACCAAGCACTGATAGCAGCCACCTCTGGTATTCATGACAATATTGTGGGGAGGGTGGAGTTTCATCCTCATCTTCAAGAATGAACGCAGGAGAAGGTGAGGCATACAATTTCCACAGAGACAGCAGGAAAGGAATGGGGGCCCATCCTACCATTGTTGTCATGCTGCCTGTGTCCAAGAGGGTGATCCCAGACAGGCATGGCAGTGACCAGAGCTCAGCAAAGTTTTCACTGCCCGTCATGGGGCAAGGCCATAGAGAAGCACAGATGCAAGGCTTCCTGGAGGTGGAGACCTGGGACCTGAGTCTCAAAGCACAATATGGAGTGAGCCAGGTGAGGCAGGGAGGTGAGGAACCTATGGACTGGAGCCACATGGGCAGGGCTGAGGCAGGTACATCTTTGTACCTGGGCTCAGCAAACATGGGGAAATCAAAACGACCTGCCCTGAGAAACTGCACGACCTGTCTTGCAGTAAGTAACCCGTCCTGCAGTGACGTGACCTGCCCTGACCTGCCCTACCCTACCCTGCCCCAAAGTCGGATAAAAGGCTGGTGTGTGCTGGAAGGAATCCCTGGCCCCCAGTGTTGCTGTGGCTGAGAACTCAAGGGGCCAGATTTGAGGCTGGAGGCAGAACTGCCACCAGAGTCTGGGTCACAAAGACCCCCTGGGCTACGTTAGTGAGAATCAGCCCCTTTTTAAATCATTTATATTTAATTATTTTCTTAAATTTTATTTTGGGAAAATGTAATATCTAACATTTTAACTACAAGTGTACAGTTCAGTAGCATTGAAAGTACTTTCATATTGTTGTGCCACCCTCACCACCATCTATGTCCAGAACTTGTTCATCATTCCAAACTGAAACTGTACCCACTCAACAGGAATTCCTCAGTCTCCCCTTGCCCCAGCCCCTGGTAACCACAGTTTTACTTCTGTCCCTATGTACAGAATTATATATATTTCTACTCTAGGTATGGAATTATATTATATTTGTCCTTTTGTGTCTGGCTTATTTCAAGTAACATAATGTCTTCCAGATTCATCCATGTTGCAGTAGATGTCAGAATTTCATTCCTGTTTAAAGTTGAATAGTATTCAGTGGCATGTTTATACCATGCTTTGTTCATTCATCCACGGATAGACATTTGGGTTGTTTTCATCTTCTGCTATGGTGAATAATGCTGCTGTGACTTTGGTCAGCAAATACCTTTTCGAGTTCCTTGACTATCTTCTTGGCAGTTCTGTGGTGTATATAGTCGAAGGAAACTTTCTGGGTCAAATGATGATTCTGTTTAATTTTTAAGGAATTGCGATGTTGTTTTCTACATATTGTAAAACTTTATATTCTTGCCAGCAATGCATAAGGATTCCAATTTTCCCACTTTCATACCAACACTTAAAAAAAATTTTTTTTAATGGAGTCTTGCTTTGTTGCCTAGGCTGGTCTCAAACTCCTGGCCTCAAGCATTCCTCTCACCTCAACCTTCAGAGTAGCTGGGATTACAGGCACACACCACCAGGCCTGGTGTGCCAACTTATTGTTTTCTGTTTTGTTTGTCTGTTTATAGTAGCCATCCTAATGGAGATGAAATGGTACCTCATCATGGTTTTGATACTCCTAATGATTAGTGATGCTGAGCATCTTTTCACGTGCTTTTTGGCCATTTGTATGTTGTATCTGAAGAAATGTCTACTCCAGTCCTTTGCCCATTTCTAACTGGGTTTATATGTTTTGTTGTTGTTGTTCTTGGGTTTTAGGAGTTCTTTATGTATCCTGGATATCAATTCCTTATCAGATACGCGATTTGCCAATGTTTCCCATTCTGTGAGTCGCGGTTTTACTTCACTGATAGTATCCTTTGATGAACAAAGTTTTCCATTTTGGCGAAGTCCAATTTGTCTATTTTTTTCTTTTGTTGCTCATGGCTTTGGTGTGATATTCAAGAAATCATTGCCAAAGCCAATATCATGAAGTTTTTCCCCCATGTTTTTTTCTAGGATTTTTATAGTTTTAACTCGTGTTTTGGTTATTGATCTATTTTGAGTTAATTTTTGTATATGGTGTTAGGTAACAGCCCAATTTCATTCTTTTGCATGTAAATACCCAATTTTTCAGCACCACTTGTTGGAAAGACTGTCTTTTCCTCATCCAATGATCTGGCACCTTTGTCAAAAATCATTTTACCATATATGCAAGGCTGATTTCTGGGCTCTGTATTCTATTCCATTGGTCTATATGTCCGTTTTTATGCCAGTACCACACTGTTTTGATTATTACAGTTTTATGGTAAATTTTGAAATCAGAAAGCGTAAGACTTGCAACTTCATTCTTTTTCAGCATTGTTTGGCTATTCAGGGTCCCTTGAGATTTTTATATAAATTTTAGGATGATTTTTTTCTATTTCTGAAAAATATGTAATTGGAATTTTGATAGGCGTTGCATTGAATCTATAGACTTTTTTGGGTAGTATTACCATCTTAGCGATTTCTTCCGATACACAAATGCAGGGTGTCTTGCCATTTATTTATGTCCTTTTTAATTCCTTTCAGCACCGTTTTGTACTTTTCCGTGTATGTCTCTCACCTCTCTGCTTAATCTCTATTTTGTTCTTTTTCATACTATTGCAAATGGAATTGTTTTCTTAACTTCCTTTTTAAATTGTTTTCTTTATTAGTGTTGGGAGATGCAACTGATTTTAGTGTTTTGATTTTGTATCTTGCAACTTTGCTAAATGTGTTTATTAGTTCTAACAGGATTTTTTGTAGAATTTTTATGGTTTTGTACATATAAGACCTTGTTATCCGTGAACACAGATAATTTTACTTCTTCCTTTCAAATTTGGATACCTTTTTATTTCCTTGGCCAATTGTTCTGGCTAGAACTTCCAGTGCTGTATTTGGTAAAAGTAGTGAGAGCAAGCATCCTTGTTTCGTTCCTGATCTTCGGGGAAATGCTTTCAGTCTTTCACTGTTGAGTATAATAGGTTTTTAAAAAATATATAGTCTCGGCCGGGCGCGGTGGCTCAAGCCTGTAATCCCAGCCCTTTGGGAGGCCGAGGCGGGTGGATCATGAGGTCAACAGATCGAGACCATCCTGGTCAACATGGTGAAACCCAGTGTCTTCTAAAAATTACAAAAAATTAGCTGGGCACGGTAGCGCGTGCCTGTAATCCCAGCTACTCAGGAGGCTGAGGCAGGAGAATTGCCTGAACCCAGGGGGCGGAGGTTGCGGTGAGCCGAGATCATGCCATTGCACTCCAGCCTGGGTAACAGGAGCGAAACTCCGTCTCAAAAAAAAAAAAAAAAAAAAAAACATATATATATATATATATAGTCTTTATTATGTGGAGGTAGTTTTCTTCTATTCCTATCTGTAGGACTTTCTACTTAGTCCAGCTAAAATCAGGGTCCTTGTCGCATGGCCATGAAGGATTAGGTTCACAGACACTTTGAAGGGTGAGAAAAATTGAATTTATTGGGCAAAAAAGAAAACAACTCAGCAAAGCGAGAGAGGGTGCCGTGAACAGGCCTGAGGCTCACCGATTGAATGGATCAGGGGAGAAAGGCCAAGCTCCTCCCCCTCAAAGGGCTTCCCACATCTCCACCCACTCTCCCAGTGTGCAGGCAGATTGAATGTTCTCCAGGCACCTTTTTACACTCGACTCTCTCAATCTGTTGTGTGTTTTTATCATGAAAGGGTATGTTGAATTATGTCAAATTCAACTTTTTTCTGCACCAATTGAGATGATCATGTGATTGTTTTTTCCTTTATTTTGTTAATATGGTGTATTACACTGATCAATTTTTGTCTGTTGAAACATATTTGCATTACAGAAATAAATCCAAATTGGGCATGGTGTATAATTCTATTATAGGCTCTTGAAATTAATTTAATCTATTATATTAGTGTGGGTTCTTCAGAGAAACAGAATCTATATGTAGAAATATATATAAGAGGAGACATTATGGGAATTGGCTTACGTAATTACAGAAGTGAGAAGTCCCACAACCTGCCATCAGCAAACTGGAGACTCAAGAAAGCCAGCCATGTAATTCAGTCTGAGTCTGAAGGCCTGACAACCACAGGAGCCAATGGTTCAGCTCCATCCTAGGAAAAGGGGCCTAATAAGGCTGCCAGTTTAAGTCCCAGAGTTTAAAGCTCCAAGAACCAGGAGCCCCAGTGTAACAGAAGCAGGCAAACATGGATATCCAACTCAGGGACAGAAGAGAGAATTTGCCCTTCCCCTAACCTTTTATTTCATGCAGCCTTTAATGGATTAAAAATGCCCACCCATATTGGTAAAGGTGACTGTCTTTATTCAATCTATTGATTTCATATGCCAATTTCTTCCAGAAATACTGCCACAGCCCTCTTTTATGTAGGCACTAATTCCTTTCCTGAGGATAGAGCCCCCATGACTAGTTTTCCACATATGAATTTGTGGAGACACAAACATTCACACTTTAGTAGCTGGTAAAACATTATTTCTGGGTGTATCTGAGACAAAATAAATTGAGGAAAAATGGACACAATTGAAGGGTGAAATGATTCTACAGCAATTCGGAGACTTCAATACCTCATTCTCACTGATGGACAACCAGATATAAAATAAGTAAGAAAATAGAGAACTTGAACAGCCCAGTAAAAGCTAGATGTATCAGACATATACAGAACACTCTATAACAAGAGAATACACATTCTTCTCACCTGCACATGGGACGTTCTCCAAGATAGACCCTACGTTAGGCCACAGATCAGGAGTCAATAGATTTAAAAAGACAGATTATCATACTAAGTATCTTCTTCAATCGCAATGAGATGGAGTTCAAAATCAGTAACAGAAGGAAAACCGGAAATTTTACAAATTATGGAAAAGACACACTCTTTATCAATCAGTGAATCAAAAAAGATACCACCAAGGGAATTAGAAAATAAATACAAGTGAAAATGGAAACACAACATACCAAAATTTATGGAATAAGTGAAAGCAGTGGGATGATAGAAATGAATAGTTGTAAACACATTAAAAAACAAGATCTCAAATAAAAAATGGCACATATTCAAATTCAGGATGTTAATGTAATCCCCATAATGACCAAAAGGGATGAGAACAGAATTATTGAAGTGTTGTAGTACAAAAAAGCATTTCAGTACAAAAATCAGTACAAAAACTAAATACAAAAAAGACAATAATATGGGAAATTACAGACCAAAAATGTTATATCTTCTTGCTGTACTGAAAACTTGATTAATATATCATTGCCTTCTTTGTCTTTTGTCTTTTGTAATCTTTTTTTATTCAAAATCTATTTTGTCTAATATATGTGTAGCCACCCCTCCCCTCCTGTAGTTGCTATTTACATGGGGTAACTTTTCCATCCTTTCCCTTTCGATCTATTTGCATCTTTGGATCTAAAATGAGTCTCTTGTAGACAGCACATACTTGGATCATATTGTAGAATGCTCATGAATAAAAGCAATTTTAGTCTTTGTTTATAATTTAGGGACTAGAAAAAAAACAAACTCAACTGAAAAATAGCAGAAGAAAGGAAATAATAAAGATTAGAGCAGAGATAAATAAAATCAAGAATTGAAAAACAATAGAGAAAATAAAGTAAGCCAAAATGAATATGTATATTCATAACACATTTAGTCCATAATATATTTGATATAACCAGCTTCACTTCAATAGCATACAAAAGCTGTGCATCCTTATAGCTCTGTTCCCACCTGCTTCCAGTTCCTGATGTCACAAATTATCTCTATGCATCATGTACCGCAAAATGTAACTTACAATTACCCATGCATTTACCTTTACTAGAGGTCTTTTATTTCTTCATTCAGCTTAAAGTTACTCTCCAGTGTCCTTTCATTTCAATCTGAAATAAAATGCCTCTCATTTCCTGCAAGGCAGGTATTGTGGAAAAAAGCTTTCTTGGCTTTTGTTTTTCTGGGAATGCTTTAATTTTTTTTGTTTTTCTTTCAGCACTTTAAACATATATGTTGGGTGGGTTTTAACCTTTCTGAGCACCTATTTCTGCCTGCCTAAAATCAGGCTAATGACACTTACTCTAGGAGTGTTTAGGTGATGGTTAGATGACCAAATATAGCCAGACCACCTAGATCAGTGTTGGGTACCTGGTAGGCACTGGAAAAATCACAACACGCATCATTCATATCTTCAAATGAGGAAACTGAAGTTCAGGGCCCTCTGTGATGTGCTCCAGATCACACAGCCAGTGTGGAGAAAGGAACTGGGGTGTAAATGGGGGCTTTTGCCGGCCTCCTGTTGCACAATGCCCCATTGACTCAGAGGCTGCCACATCGTCTAACAAGCTTTTCTGATTTGGCAGGGCCTGGCTATACTGGACAATGCCACTCCTCCTGTATAGCTGTCTTCTCTGGCTGTCCTCCAGTGGCCTCTGGAATGTCCAGGCCATGGATCCTAACGCTGCTTATATGAACATGAGTAGACATCGGGATCTGGCTTCAGTCAACGTTGATTTTGCCTTCAGCCTGTATAAGCACCTAGTGGCCTTGAGTCCCAAGAAGAACATTTTCATCTCCCCTGTGAGCATCTCCATGGCATTAGCTATGCTGTCCCTGGGCACCTGTGACCACACACGGGCCCAACTTCTCTGGGGCCTGGGCTTCAACCACACTGAGAAGTCTGAGGCTGAGATCCACCAGGGTTTCCAGCACCTCCACCAACTCCTTGTAGAATCAGACACCAGCTTAGAAATGACCTTGGGCAATGCCTTGTTTCTTGATGGGAGCCTGGAGTTGCTGGAGTCATTCTCAGCAGACATCAAGCACTACTATGAGTCAGAGATCTTGACTTCGAATTTCCAGGACTGGGCTACAGCAGCCAGCAGACAGATCAATGACTATGTCAAGAGTAAGACACAGGGGAAAATTGATGACTTCTTCTCAGGGCTGGATAGCCCAACCATCCTCATCCTGGTCAACTATATCTTCTTCAAAGGTACTCCCTCCCATCCCAGTCTGAAACCCCATCCGCTCTGGCCAGGAATAATAACAGCCATTAAAATCCAGGGCACACTCTTGGGCAAAGCCTTTGATTCTATAAAGCACATACACATCTGGGAACTTCCATCTTCACCACAATCCTGTCGGGTAGGTGGAATTATATTATTTTACAAAAGATCAAAACGACACCCAGAAGGGTTGAGCAATGTGCCCACATTCTGGCAGGTTGGTTTGAGGCCCATACCTGTAACCACAAACAGTCTGGCTGCTTCATGCTCCACAAATACTAACTGTCAAGCACTGGACCAGGGGCTGGAAAAATGGTCTAGAACCAGACAGAACCCCACCCACCCCCTCAAAAACTCCCAGATGCCCCCAAAACAGTCCTGCACACACTGCTCTGACCAGGTCCTGCTTCAGTTTTTCAACCTTCCTGTTCACAAAAATCTAGAAGCTCTAAGGGAAAATGCACTTCCAGGCCTTTTCCAGCTTCTAGAAGCCACGTGGCTTGTGAGCCCCTCTTATTTTCAAAGCCAGTAATTGCATCATTCCCACTTCTGCATCCGTCATCACATCTCTCTCTCTCTCTGATTCTGGCTTTCCTGCCTTCCTCTTTGACTTACAAGAACCCGCAGGATTTCAGTGGATAATGGCCCATCTGGGTGATCCAGGATAACCTGCCCATCTCAAGGCCAGCCAGTCACCAACTGTGATTCCCTCTACAACTTTAACTCCCCTTGGACATGTAAGCTAACATATTTACAAGTTCTGGGGATTAGAATGTGAACATTTTGGAGGGCTATTATTCTACCTACCACAAAGCCCAGGCCTCTTATGCCTCATGAACCCTCTTGAAACTTATCTGACTGCCTTCCCTCATTTCAAATCTTAGCTCAAAAGGCACCTCCTCTGTGAAGCCTCCCCCCAGATTCACCCAGGAAAAGCTTTGTCCTCATATGCATGCTTTACAGTTTTCCCATGCCTCATTTTGGCAATCATCTTGCCATCACATGTTGTTTAGCACCCAACTGGTTGAGTTTCAGTTAGGCAATCATATTCAAAGGAATGCAGGTAAAACAGTCAAAATAAGCAAACAATGCCAGTATCACTATTGAACATGTGTCTCTTGACATCATCAGATCAGTAGAGGTGTGATCGCCAGCCAGGACTCCTCACCCCCCTTTCCCCTCCTCCCCAGCTCTTTCCCATGGCTTCCCATCAGACTGCGCCCACCTCCCCTCCCATCCCACGCCTCCTTACTGACTGGACTGACTTAGCCTCTCCATGAGTCCTTCTTCTCCACCTGCCTCTGGGTCTTTCCCGCTCTCCAGCACAAGGTTGGAACTCCTGGGAGAGGCTGCCCTCCTCGCAGGATGGGGAGGCTGAGAGGCTGACCAGACAAAGACAGCCTTCTTTACTCCTGACTGTGGGAGGGCCAGGGAGGCTGGGAACATTTCCCCAAAACCTCTTCTGTGTGCTCCCATGAATTCCATAGACCATCTCCCCCATGAGACTGTGCACTCCTGTGCAGAGCACCCCTGTCTCTTTGGGAGATCCAGTGCCTTTGTGAAGTGCTTGGTGCATGGAAGTTCAGTGGTGGTTGCACAGAGGTTCAGGCAAAACAAGCTGGGGAAAAGGCACAGGAAACCCAGGTGCAGGGAGGGCTCTCCTGAGCCTGAGAGAGGCCTGAGCACATGTGGGCATCTGGCAGAACAGGTGCTGGCCTGGCTTCATTCTGCACGAGGTTTCTGTGTCCTCAGGACCACAGAGGGGCTAAATGGATAGGAGATCTCAGCTTTAGGACGCAAAATCAGAGAAACTTTAAACACTTGAATGCAGGACCAGACATTGATGGGGGTAAAATGCCTCATTGTACACAAGTTTTCTATGATACAGCAAAACAAATCTGTAAGTGTTTTGCTTAAAACCACTTGGAAAATACTCTGAAGTATTTCTAGCAAGCCAGGGGAATAAATAGAAATCGAGAGTTGTGTAGCTATTATCTCTAAATGTAGGACATGCAAAATGGCCCTGATGTGTTATTTATTTATTGGACTTTCTTGACAGTCCTTTTTAAAGAACATTAAAAATATTGTTCAAAGATTTTCCAGAGGAGCCATCCTTGTTCTCTTGGATTTTCCCCCACAAATTCTTTCTCTACTTCCAATTCTCCTAGGACATTTTGAGAATAAATCTCTTAAAGTAGAGGCTGAACCCCATTTTGTATTTTGTTTTGTGTCAAACTATATACATTACACTTGCTTCTAGAAAAGAAATACTTCATAAAAAGCAAGCAGGAAAATGTTAAGGATTCATCCATTCATTCACACATTCATTCATTGCTGACTCACATCCTCAGCCGACCTTGGCTGAGTGGTCAGACTTGTGGATTCATTTTGCTGTATCATAGAAAATCTAACAATGAAAAACAGTTTACCCACTTTTTTTTGTTTGATTCTAAGTTATCCACAAAATACAACCTCTAGTTCTGAGGATTCTGGACTTCCTTTGGAGGATGATTTGAGAACCCTCAAGTGATCTCATTTGAGTCAGATGGACGGTGAGTTTTCTACCATTGGTCAGTGTCTGCAGACACCAAGGTTAGCGAGGTCATTCCCAATGGACCAGCATAGCTCTGGGGTCTCTAGACTCCACAGCCATGGCTGATTTCCCTACATCATCAGCCTTCCCTTGTTGTCTCCATCAGTAGCTATTACAGGAGATTTGTGGTTGGCTCAGAAGCAAGAATTTTGGCCAAGAAATCCACAGATCCCACAGACAGTAGGATGGAGAAGAGGCTACCTGCAGTGATGTTCTGGCCACCTTTAGGGAGCCTCGGCTGGGAAACAGTTGCCTCACAAGGGCTTCAGGACTTGTGGTCAATGGCAGCCAAGACACCCAGGACCTGCTAGACCCAGGGGCCTCGGTCATCAGTTTAAGACTGGGGAGCCTTCACCTAGAGCAAAGAGGCCCTGTGCCACCCAGCCCAGGTAAGTTTCCTGCAGGTGGACTCAGTTGTCTGGAATAAGTTCGGAAGGACAGAAGAGGTCCCACAGGTGTCAGACAATCAGGCAGGCTTTAGCTCAGTCTGAGAAGCAATTTTTTTCCCATCAGAGCTGACCAGGACTGCCAAGTCCCATCTGTGAAGGTAGTGAGATCCCCATCTCAAGGCAACAAACAAGCTGGATGGTGGTACCCTGGAACATGGTAGAGGGGACCAGAGAGCCTGCTGGGGGTGGGAGTCTGTGATCCTGAAGGAGTCTTCTTACCCTGACTCTGCATTTAGACAGTGTGGTCTAGAAAGAAGGACCACTCAAAGGCTGGGCCTACCAGGCTGGCAGGAATGGAGATGGTCCCCTCGTTGCCCACCAGGGACTGTGAGTTTGAGGCCTGAGGCTCAGCCCCACTTGCAGAGCCCTCAGAGCCGGGACCCACTCTAGGCAGGGGGAGCCAAGGTACAGTCTAGGTTAAGTGACTCTTACCATCAAATCCAAGGACCAGCACCCTCTTGGTCTCTCCCCACTTCCTTGTTTAGAAGCCAATCTTAGAAACAGAGCTCACCCTCAACCCATTCCAATAAGTAGAGGATGGAACACACGTTACATTTCTTATCTTACCTAAAAACCCTTGAGACTCAAGTGGGGACATTCCAGGCACTCAGAAGGCCACTGTGTCACTTGGATAGCAGGCCCGTAAGGTCACCTGGAACTGTGTTTTCCTCTCTGCCCTACAGACCTGTCTCCTCCTCTCCCTAGGCACATGGAAACAGCCCTTTGACCTCGCAAGCACCGGGGAGGAAAACTTCTATGTGGACGAGACAACTGTGGTGAAGGTGCCCATGATGTTCCTGTCGGGCACCATCAGTTACCTTCATGACTCAGAGCTCCCCTGCCAGCTGGTGCAGCTGAACTATTCAGGCAATAGGACTGCCTTCTTCATCCTTCCGGAAAAGGGAAAGATGAACATGGTCATCACTGCGCTAAGCCGGGACACAATTGACAGGTGGTCTGCAGGCCTGACCAGCAGGTAAGCCCTCCAGCCCCCGTGTTGATTTCTGCAATGCATGTGTCCCCAGAAAGTGGGGCAGGTGCAAAAGGGTGCATCTTTTCTTCCCTGGACTCACCCTCCAGGGCTCATTGTTTCCTGTCTGCTGGACCCCCAAAGGCTATAAGGTTCTCTGATCTAGAGTTCACACTTCTTTATTGATTTGTCCATCAACATTGAAATACTTCACAAAATGAGGTCCCCTTTCCCTGTGAGATTCATACACAACATCTGCATTGTCATATTTTTGCAGCATTTTCGTAAAGTAAGTTCACCAACCACCCAGCTACCCACTTATCTATTTTGTTATCTTGCTTACCTGAAACCATGCCCTGCTGAAGATTCCTGGGAGACCCCGTAGAAATATAGTGAAAATGACCTCTGTATTCATCATGGAGCCAATGTAAAACCTATGAATGGTTCTTAAGTCACTCAGGGCATCTACCTCTTCGATCAATCAGTCAATCAGTAAACAACTAAAAAAGCAAGGCTACAAGTAGGTAATAAGCAAGTAAGTAGAAAGAAAGCAAGGGCTGCATATCCTGAAGAGCCAGTAGTCAGGAGGAGAAGCTGCCAATGGATTCTCTCTATCTCTGACCTCAGGCCCAAGCAAGAGGTAGTGCAGGGTTGACACTCAGGCAAGGTCAGCTAAGGATATAAGTCAGCAATGAATGAATGAGTGAATGAATGGATGGATGAATGGATGAGTGAATGAATGGAGGGATGAATGAGCTAGAGAATGAATGGATGAATGAGTGAGTGAGTGAGTGAGTAATAGAACGATGAGTGAATGGATGGGTGAATGAGTGAATGGAGAATGAGTAAATGAATGGATGAATAAGTAAAGGAATGAGTGAGTGGATGGATGGATGGATGAATCCCCTATAAACACAAAGCTTTTCCCCCCAGGCACCCCTGAGCTGGACAGCAATTGAAATTATTGTGATGCATGTGCCCGGCCCTGCTCCTCACCTTGGAGGAGGAAAGAGGAGTTCTTTAGAACATGGTTCTCACTCTCACAGAGATTCAAGTTCTGTCTGTGCAGGAGAGTCAGAAAATGTCAACCAGCATGGAACCTGGTGGCAGGTGGGTTGATGCAGACACAAAAGCAGAGGGGATGCTGAGAAGGGAGTGGGCATGGAGATCTGGAGTAGCTCAGGAAAGCAGTGGATCCAACAGCATTTCATTCTCTCATTCATTCCTTCATTCAATGTACATAAATGGAAGCACCTGCTATGTACCATGCACTAGCTAAGCACACGGAACAGAATGGTGAATAGGGCAAAAGAGAGCTCTTAAAGACATTCACTCTAGAGCAGAAAACAGATTCTGGTGGAATTAACAGTGGTACAATGATCTGAGTTCTGAGAGACAGAGAGACAAGTGTAACATGCCGCTGGCTGTGAGGTGGGAATGCCTGGCTCTGCCCAGGGAAGCGGAAAGGGCTGTAGAGCAACTTGTCTTCCCTTGAAACTGCCTTGAGGCTGAGTGGAAGTTCAGCCAGTAGGAAGTGGCCTTGAGAACTGGCATGAAGCGGGGCATGGCACCAACCAAGTCAGGGGACCATGCCCAGAGTGCCAATAATGCAGGGCCAGCAGTAATGAAGGGGACAAATTTGGCTTGGAGACAAATTTTCTACTGCAGAATTCCTAGACCACAAAATTTTGTGGTTCTAAAAATTCTGCAGTAGAAAATCTAAGAGGAAGCTCCTCTACTTTATTAATATGTAGGTTTTGTGGTTTATGGTTTCAGATTGTTTTCATTTTGAATGATACCCTCAGAGAGCTTTTTGGTGCTGGGTGCTTCTAGAGAAGTTCATCCAGGTCTGTGAAGGCACATGAAGTGCCTGAGAGGATCTGACTCCTCTCCTGTAGGGAAGTCATGTGGTGAGCTCTGGGCTTCTGAGTAATCCCTATAGCTATTTGGAGGAAACAGTGCTTAAACCATCCATACCTACTGTGTGTGTGTGTGTGTGTGTGTGTGTGTGTGTGTGTGTGTGTGTGTTTGTAGTACGCATAGGTGTAAACCTGTGTCTGGGTGATGCTAAAGATCCATTTGCCATCTCTTCCTCCTTTCTACCCACCAAAGAAAACCTGTAATTTAGGTGTAATTCCACAAAGGGGTGATAACGTACCATGATGCAAACAGTGCATTCCAGATCAGACTCCACCGAAAACGATGGGAAGGACTATCTTTCTTTACACCAAAAATAATCTCTTCATGAAAATACTTCAGTGTGAGCAACATTAATCAATAACACATAGTTTAAAGCCCCGTTGCCTCGCTCTCTGATAGCTGTCGACAACACAGCAGGTGGCAGGTAGCAAAACTAGTCCTGGCCTTTCAGTTCTGTTGCCTTCCAGTTGTGTGACTTTGGGGGAATTCCTCAGCCTCTCTAAGTGTTGGTTTCTCAACCTGGAAATTGAAGATGTTGATTCCGACTTCATGGGGTGTGTGTGTGTGTGTGTGTGTGTGAGAGAGAGAGAGAGAGAGGAGACAAAAAAGTAAAGAACACAGACTAGGTGTTTCGGATAAGTTGGTCTCCATTCCCTTCTTCCTGTTAGGATTTCTGCATCTGGAGAAGGTACACACCTCTGGTTCTTCTTCCTTTAGAAAAGGACGGCTTCCACTTCATACAGGATGGTTGCTGGTCTCCAGGCCTCACCCAGAGCTGCTTTTGCTCAGTGAGGACAGGGTCTCGTGCCTTCCCTCTCACCTGCGCAGAGAGCCAGTGTGAGTTCCCTGACACTCCTCAGTTTCAGTGTTTCAGGCATCTGCTCTCCCTCTGGGGAGAAGGCACAGGAAGAATTTAAAAATAACACTAATGCCTTGACATGTTAAAAAGTGCACATGCCTGTGCTGCCCCTAGTGTGACCCCACTTACCTTTCTAGAAACCCCACCTGCTTCACCCGGTAGAAAGTGCCAGCTGAATCATCAGATTCTTTCAGAATCACAGAGCTTTAGCACCCACAGGCCCTGGGAGAGCCTGTGTTCAACCACCTTTGTGTGTGGGTGAGGACGTTAGCAAAGAGAGGGGCTGGACTTGGCTAGGACCACACAGCACTAGTGGCACGGCTGGAGCCAGGGACCACTGCTCCCAGCTGGGTGCTCCCTCCAGTCCTCTGCTTCTAGCAGGGTTCTCCTGGGACCAAAAAGGCTTCTTCTGTAATCCCAGCACTTTGGGAGGCTGAGGTGGGTGGATCACGAGGTCAAGAGATCAAGATCATCCTGGTCAACATGGTGAAACCCCGTCTCTACTAAAAATACAAAAAATTAGCTGGGCACGGTGGCGCGTGCCTGTAATCCCAGCTACTCGGGAGGCTGAGGCAGGAGAATTGCCTGAACCCAGGAGGCGGAGGTTTCAGTGAGCCGAGATGGCGCCATTGCACTCCATCCTGGGTAACAAGAGCAAAACTCCATCTCAAAAAAAGGCTTCTTTGTGGACCAATGTCTTAAATGCTCCATGGTCCAGTTGCATCCCAGGTAGAATCAGCTCAAAGGAATTGCAGAGAAGAAAAGAACTTACAATTCAGAGACCCAGTGGGGAAGCTGCCTGTGTCATGGAGGCAGAAACAAACCCTGCCTCCTGCTCTGCCCCTTCTCCTGACCCCAAAGAGCAAGTCAGGCTGGGAGACAGGAGCTGGAGGGAGCACATGAGGAAATAAGACTCTGGCCAAGAGAAGAGGAGCTGCTCTCCCCTCTGCCAGGCCCAGCCCTGGAATGTCTAACTCTGTCTGCTTCCCCCGAACAGCCAGGTGGACCTGTACATTCCGAAGGTCACCATCTCTGGAGCCTATGACCTCGGAGGTGTGCTGGAGGAAATGGGCATTGCAGACTTGTTCACCAACCACGCAAATTTCTCACGCATCACCCAGGATGCCCAGCTGAAGTTATCAAAGGTAAATGTCTTGGGAGCCCACCTTTTTTCCCTCCAAAATTTACAATATAAATATAATACTAGGAAGTGGCACTGAGTTCATTCATGAGTGAACCTCTAGATCCCTGGCTGAGAACCCAGCTCAAGTCCAAGCCCCTCATCTCACTATGAGGTAAATGGAGGCTCAGCAAGAAAACGCAACACCCCCGAGATCACACAGGAAGCTAGCGACAAAGGAGGGCCATAGCCCAGGCACCTACCCATCCTGCCAGACCACACAGAGGGGCACTGTGGAACCGAATGGCCATGGCAGAACTGTGACTGGCCCCTGGAAAAAGAAACAAGTGGCAAATGTCTAATTGGGATCACATTGAGCCTTCTACCCGATTACATCCATTCAATTACATAAATCCTTCAGCTCTATGTTTTGTTATTCATGCATTTGGAAAATTTTTACTGAACACCTACTATGTGCTCCAAACTGTGTAGCTCTGGGTGTGCCCCCATTACTCAGATATGTGGCCCCTGACCTCAAGACACAAGGACTTCATGGCCACCGTGGTACCTGGCACGCAATATGTGCTCAGTAAAATGCATGCTGCATGAGTGGATTGAGTCAACAGAGCTGCCTCCTTAGAAGGCGGGTATTATCCCAATTTCTCAAAGCAGGAATCTCCTGTTCAGGGAGGGTATACAGCTTGGCCACAGTCACGGAGCTAGTAAATTACAGTTTAATGTTTGATCTCAGGCCTTTTGACTCAAAACTCATTATGTCATATGCTCAAAACACACTGCAGGGGTTCCAGTCCCAGCTCAGCTTCTTCCTAGCCATAGGTGCCCACTCACAGAACCACTAAAGCCTCAGTGTGCTTGCTGGAAAGAGTTGCTGGGAGTTCCACCCCTTAGGGTGTAGGGAGCTCACCAATATCACCTGTTACTTAATTAGCCAGGTTATGAGCCACCAAAGTCTTTTGATACAAGCTAGGCAGACATTTTGCTGATTTCCGAACTCCTAATTTTGATCACAACAAGGACATATCAACAGTCAAAGATTTACATTTTAGATTCTGCTTCAGCTTTCCCAAACAGAATAGGCATACCCAGCTGAGTGGAAATGGAGCAAGATCTCCCTCCACTACCCCAGGACAGTAAGAAGCACCGAACAAGGACAGTGAAGTCCAGTTCAACCCCTGAGACCTCTAATCTCCATGTGATGGGCCCAACCTGCCTTTTTACAGGAGTGTAGGTACAGCTCAGGTTCTGGAGGTGAACAGACTTGGGCTATGTCATTCTGGGGCTGCCACTTGGATAAAGACCCAGCAAGTGACCTTCTCTGAGCCTAGCTAATGTCCTTCCTAAAGCCAAGGACATTAGGAGTCGCAGCAATGAGGCAGGAAAGTGAGAACACATAGCAAGTGCTCACCACCCATCTTCATTTTGTACCTAACAGGTGTTCCATAAGGCTGTGCTGCAAGTCAGTGAGGAGGGTGTGGACACAACTGGCTCCAGTGGGGTCACCCTAAACGTGATGTCCAGGCGTATCATCATGCGTTTCAACCAGCCCTTCCTCATCATGATCTTCGACCACCTCACCTGGAGCAGCCTTTTCCTGGGCAGGGTTGTGAACCCAGCGTAAGAGACTGCCCACCTGGAGCCACAGCACTATCTGACTTTGGGCACCAGGGACCCTATGGAAATGTTTTGGAGAGCAGAAAGTAAGTTTCCCCCAATCCTCTTGAAGTTCTCCTTCCAATCAGACTTGTATCTATTTTTAGGCATCTTGTAATAAATATCATTGCAACTCTGATGACCAGTGTGGTTGAAGGGAAGGGCAGGGGGATTCTGGAGGTTACCGTGATAAAGTAGTGTTTGCAAATCCCCAGGCCTGGCATCTTCATCCATGTGGGCTGCCATAGACTGGGTGGCTTGTGAACAACAAAAATGTATTTCTCAGAGTTCTGGAGGCTGGAAGACTGAGATCAGAAGCCAGCATGGTCAGGTTTTGGGGAAGGTCGGTTCCTGGTTCAGAGGTGGTATCTTCTGGCTGTGTCCTCGCATGGCAGAAAGAGCAGAGAAAGCTTTCTGGGGCCTCTTTTATAAAGGTCCTAATCCCACTCATGAGAGTTTTACACATGACCTAATCACATCCCAGAAGCCCCAACTCTAATACCATCACCTTTAGGGTTTGGTTTTAATGTATCAATTTGGGAAGACACAAACATTCAGGCCATAACACCTGGTACCACCATAGGAGGATCAACTTTTCCGGCCAACAAACCCTCCCCCTTCCCTCATAAAATAAAAATTTCAGCTGGATTAAATCTAAAGTTTAAATGAGCAATGGATGATTCACAATTTGGGCAGCCTCCTGAGCTGTGAGACTCCAGTGTAGCTACATGGTAGAAGAAGATTTATGGTCAGAAAAAGGAAAGTGATGTACAGAAAACAGAAGTGAGGAACAGAAACAGCTGGATTGGTTACAGGTTGGTGTTTGCCAGCCAAACTCAGCGACTGGCACAAGCGTAGGCTATGGTTCATCCTTCTACTTATTATAGTTCATGATGTACAGAAAAACCTTTAGGCTGAATTTAAAATATGTAAGGAGGCAGCATTAGGGTAAACTTGATTTAACATCCCTGACAAGTGCAGATAGATGAAGGTAGCATCTTTGATTTGTTATGGGTCTTAAGGGTCAGGGCAGTGCAGGGAGATATGTGGGAAAGAGACAGAATCCCAGACAGGCCCATGAGAGGTAAGAGACTGAAGGTCTGTGTTGTTCATTTTAAGGTTTTCTGGGGAAGCAGGGGTTGGACATTTTTGCGCTCCCACCAGAGCGGCTGATGCTGGATGCCTGTAGTATGTAAACAGTGGAGTCTTACTTCAGAAAGATAGGAAGAGACTTAGCAAACGTGTGTGATATGGTTTGGCTCTGTGTCCCCACCCAAATCTCATCTCAAATTGTAATCCTCACATGTCTAGAGAGTAACCTGTAATCCCCACCTGTTGAGGGAGGGAGGTGACTGGATCATGGGGGTGGTTTCTCCATGCCGTTCTCATGATAGTGAGTGAGTTCTCACGAGATCTGATGGTTTTATAAGTGTCATTTCCTCCTATACACACTATCTCTCTGGCCTGCTGCCATGTAAGATGTGCCTGCTTCTTCTTCCACCATGATTGTAAGTTTCCTGAGGCATCCCCAGCCATGCAGAAACATGAGTCAATTAAACCTCCTTTGTTTATAAATTGCTTAGTCTTAGGGAGCATCTTTATGGCAGTGTGAAAACAGGTTAACACAGAATCAGTTCTCATATTCAGTGGTTATCCTTTCTTACTGCAAAAGCAACACACACTGAAGCAAAACCCCAGGTAGAGGCTGGGGTTGGGCCATCTTGAGGCAGTTGCCCTCCTAATAAGCTAATATGATCCTACCCCCCCACAGTACCAGGAACACTGTTTCTGTTTGGTGAGTGATTGAATTTGTCTTATTGATTTATTTTTTCACATTGTTCGCTTTTATAAGCTCATCAATACAGTTTTTAAATTTTCTTTTTTAAACCAAAAGTGGCATTTCAGGCCAGGCCCAGTGGCCACACCTATAATCCTAGCACTTTGAGAGGCCCAGGCAGGTGGATCACTTAAGGTCAGGAGTTTAAGACCAGCCTGGCCAAACTTTAGTAGAGATGGTGAAACTCCATCTCCACTAAAAATACAAAAATTAGCCAGGCATGGTGGCATGCACCTGTAGCCCAAGCTACTCAGGAGGCTGAGGCATGAGAATTGCTTGAACCCAGGAGGCAGAGGTTGAAATAAGCTGAGATCACGCCACTGCACTCCAGCCTGGGTACCAGAATGAGACTTCTCAAAAAATAAAAAGTGGCATTTCAAATGAATGGGACAAACAAACTGTGTTAAAATATTTATTTAAAATATTTGGGAAAAATCAGGTAGCCACCTGAAAAACAGTGTAAATTGGAATCACTGTTATCCTTATACCAGGATCAATTCCTGATAGATTGAAGATGTATATGTAAATATTGAAATCCTAAAATAAGAAGAATATAGTGAATGTTTTGAAAATAATCTCATAATGAGACTTTCCTAAGAGGGCCAAAAAGCCAGAAATGACTAAAGAGAAGATGGATACATTCAACTACAAAAACATGTTTAAAAGTAGAATCAAACTTAAAAGGCAGATGACAAAGCGCCAAAACTATTGCCATTCATATCCTCAAATAGCTAATTTCTTCTATATGTCATACTATTCTGGTTGACCCTAGGACAGTGGCAGCTGCATGAATATTTCCTGCACATCACCCCAACAAGCTATAAAATCAGCAGTAGCCCACATAAAACTACAGATGGCCTAAGCCTTCACCATTACATTACCACATGAAATTGGAGCCCCGGGAAGGGGGGCAGTTAAGGGGACAGGAAAATATTTTAAGAAATAATGGCTCATTTTTTTTCTAAACATGATGAAAACTATAAATTCACAGTTCCAAGAAATTCAACAAGCCCAAAGCAGGAGAAAGAACACCAGCCAAGCTGCTCTTTTAATAACCAATTAAAAATCAATTTCAATAATCAAATTGCTTAAAACTAAGGATGAAGAGAAAATCTTAAAAGCAGCTAGAAGAAAAGAATACATTACATACAGGGCACAAAGATAAAGATAAGGATTGATTTCTCATTAGAAATTATGCCAACCAGCTGAAACTATATACAAAGAAAGGCACATTGCTTCTGCCATATTTGTGCCCATGTACAATCTAAAGTTGAGATGATGAAATATCAGAAAATTCCAAATTGAAAGACATTCTACAAAATATCTAGCCTTTATTTTTCAAAAGGTCCTATGTCAAAAAAAACAAAACCTGAGAAGCTGTGCCAGACTCAAGCAGAATGAGGAAATATGACAACCCAATGCAATATGGGTTACTGGATTGGACACTGTACAAGAAAAAAAGGATATTGATAGGACAACTGAAAAAAGCTTGAATAATGCCATTATACTATGTGATACGGTTTAGCTGTGCATCCCCACCCAAATCTCATCTTAAATTGTACTGCCATAATTCCCACAGGTTGTGGGAGGGACCCAGTGGGAGATAATTTGAATCATGGGTGCAGTTTCCTGCATACTGTTTCCATGACAGTGAAAGAGTCTCATAAGATCTGATGGGTTTATCAGGGGCTTCCACTTTTGCACTGTCCTCATTTTATTTTGCCACCACTATGTAAAAAATGCCTTTTGCCTCCTGCCATGATTCTGAGACCTCCCCAGCCATGTGGAATTGTAAGTCCAATTAAACCACTTTTTCTTCCCAGTCTCAGGTATGTCTTTATCAGCAGCATGAAAAGGGACTAATACAGTAAATTGGTACCAGTAGAGTGAGGGGTTGCTGAAAAGATACCCAAAAGGCAGAAGCAACTTTGGAACTGGGCAACAGGCAAAGGCTGGAACAGTTTGAGGGGCTCAGAAGAAGACAGGAAAATGTGGGAAAATTTGAAACTTCCTAGAGACTTGTTAAATGACTTCGACCAAAAGCCTGATAGTGATATGGACAAAAAGGTCCAGGTTGAGGTGGTCTCAGATGAGGAACTTGTTGGGAATTTGAGCAAAGGTGACTCTCGTTATGTTTTAGCAAAGAGATTGGTGGCATTTTGCCCCTTCCCTAGAGATTTCTGGAACTTTGAACTGAGAGAGATGATTTAGAGTATCTGGCAGAAGAAATTTCCAAGTAGAAAAGCACTCACAATGTGACTTGGGTGCTGTTAAAGGCATTCAGTTTTATAAGGGAAGTAGAGCATACAAATTTGGAAAATTTGCAGCCTGACAAACCCATTTTCTGAGGAGAAATTCAAGCTGGCTGCAGAAATTTGAATATATAATGAGGAGCAGGATGTTAATCCCCAAGACAATGGGGAAAATTTCTCCAGGGCATGTTAGAGGCCTTCACAGCAGCCCCTTCCATCATAGGCCTGGAGGTCTAGGAGAAAATGGTTTTATAGAGTGGGCTTAGGGTCCCCATGTTGTGTGCAGCCTAAGGACTTGGTTTCCTATGTCCCAGCCACTTCAGCCATGGCTGAAAGAAGCCAACATAGAGCTTAGGCCATGGCTTCAGAGAGTACAAGTCCCAAGACTTGGCAGCTTCCACATGGTGGAGTCTATGAGTGCACAGAAGTGAAGAACTGGGGTTTGAGAACCTTTGCCTCCATTTCAGAACATGTATGGAAATGTCTGGATGTCCAGGCAGAAGTTTACTGCATGGGCGGGGTGCTCATGGAGAACCTCTGCTAGGGCAATGCAGAAGGAAAATGTGGGGTTGGAGCCCCCACACAGATCCTCTACTGGGGCACTGCCTAGTGGAGCTGTGAGAAGAGGGCCACCATCCTCCAGATCCTGGAATAGTAGATCCACTGACAGCTTTACTGTTTGTCTGGAAAAGCCAGAGACACTCAACACCAGTTCATGAAAGCAGCCAGGAGAGAGGCTGTACTCTACAAAGCCACAGGGGCAGAGCTTCCTAAGACCAAGGGAACCTGCCTCTTTCATCAGCATGACATGGAGTCAAAGGAGATCATTTTGGAGCTTTAAAACTTGGCTAATCTGCTGGATTTCAGACTTGCATGGGCCCTGTGACCATTTTATTTTAGCCAATTTCTCCCATTTGAACAGCTGTATTTACCCAATACCTGTACCCCCATTGTATCTAGGAAGTAACTAGCTTGCTTTTGATTAACTAGCTTGTTTCAGATGAGACTTGGATTGTGAACTTTGGGATTAATGCTGAAATGAGTTAAAAC